CAACGATGGTGTCGATATCAGTACTATATCAGGTGATCGGCATCGTCAAGATGTCAAGACAGAGCGATACCAGTATTTATGCAAGGCGATGTGGCATGCAAAGAAGTTGCAGAACAGAGTACGCTATCAGATTGCCGCCATTCGTATCTCAAGGGAGGATGTCTCACTCGAAGAGGAAAGGCAATACTGGGCAAACCTCATGTATTACAGCACAGATGCACCGTCATTTCTGAAGCATGAACGTTGGATCGTTCCTTGCGCAATTCGAGCTGTTGCCTCTCACAATTCTGGAAGAGAGACTGTTCTTGAAGAGGATGTGTCAATATATCCTGTGTGGACTTCACATCTCATTCCAGAGAATGTGGCAATGCAGCTTGGAGGAAGCTTTCACATGACATCGCTTTCCAATATTGAGTCAATCATGAAACTAGGAATTGTCCCTGGTGGAACGGAGGGATATAGAGGTAGTGTTTTCTTCAACCACTTTGCGCCGTGGGATGATCGATCATCAAAGATTCTGAGATCAAGATGGCCAAGAGTGGGAATGCCCGTTTGCCTTTATGTTCCAATCATGACTTTGAGGAAGCTTGGGGGAAGAATTTCGGAGAATTCCTACACTGTTGTTTTTAGAGAAGTTCCATGGAGATGTGTACGAGGTGCTTGGTATTGGGACGACTACGTTCAGGCATGGAGGAGACTCCTGCTGGGAAGCACTGGAGAGCAAGTTGTTCTAGCGGCACGTCATGGACTTTGGGTTGCTCAGAAGCATACCATCCTCGAGAGAGCCGACGAAGTCACGAAGTCAGCCTCGGCGACAGATGACAACGTCCAAAAGCTCGTGTCCCTTATCGATGAAGTACAATTCGATGACAATGGAGGGCTGATCGAGGATTCCATCAGTGAGGAAACTTGGGACGAAATCATCTCCAGAACATGTGAAGGGTATCGCAACGTGGATGGCAATATTTTGTGTCCATCATGTATGCATTTGACTTCTTCATCCTTGTCTGTGTGTCTATCTTGTCAAGGCAGGCTACTCTCGTGTGGTATTCGCAACACTGTCATTTCCGATTCACCCGTTGATCTTGTGAGCGACGATGAAGAGGAAAAGAAGGAAGAGAAGGAGCCTGAAGATGATGACCAAGATATCTTGGACCAGGCCACTATGGACGAGATCAGAAAGGCTTGGGAAGAAGACATCGCTCAAACTGAAGCAGCTGATGACGACGAGGACATGGACAATCTAGATCCTTCCAAACCGTCTGATGGTGCAGAAAACTTCAAGAGTGACAATGTCGAGACCCCATCTTTCAATGAGGACGAGATCGACTACGGTCGTGATTCTGATCTAGAAGATGAAGACGAACGAAACGTGATCATCGAGATCCAGAGGAGCACACAACAATATGAGGGGAAGAAACGTCAAGATGGTGAACCCGAGGATGAAGACGTCACCGACGACTTACATCCGGAGGCGAATCGACCGACAGATCGTGATGAACCGGGATACTATGCACAGCATGGAGCGACCGAGTTCAATCCCGAAGAAGGAAGAGACAACGAAGATCTCCCCATCTATTGTCGAGTACCGGAACCTCGAATCTATGCGCACCAAGAGAGAGCCTACTGTCAGGACGTCTCCATGAATGCATCGGGTTTGATGGATAGGTATGTGGTCAAATGTGTGCTGAACATGATCTCCCTGATGTACAAGAGCTACTATTGCACCAGCCTTACCGACTTCAAAGCAAATTGGAAAAGGAAGCGACTGGATGTGATAAGCAAGTTCGGTACAGGGGATTCCACTGAAATCGATGACGATGGGAGACCATTGGATCCAACAGATGATATGATGTTAATCTTTGCCAACGACAACAATATTACAACTGAGGAGGCCTGGCACCGATTCAGAGGAGAGCAATTCATTTGCAAGGTGGCACTCGTGATCCTATCATTTGGTCATACTCCGCAATCCTTCAAGAAGGAATATGGCAACTTCGAATACCCCACCAACTTGACTGATGCCCAGCTTGAGGAGTTGAAAGCGAAGAAAGCCAGCGCAATGACTGAATTGGTACAGAAGTGCATCCATGCGATTTATGGGTGTCGGACATATTCTTACTTTAGAACCGACGTTACATCACCCTACCACAAGGTGATCGATCCTCTGGACATCATGTACTCGAGAATGAAGAGCAAGTGGGAGAAGTCTATTCTGTTGATCATTGATCAACATGAGATCAGGTTGCCCCCACAAGCTCAGGAAGTCATAGAGTCAATGGCCAGAAACCCCAACGTTGGACATACAGAGAGATGGATGAGCGTGGTAGAACATAAGCATGTTCAAGCTCTTACCAATCGTCTAGGCTTTGGAGATAGGGCCAAGGAGATTCAGGGCAAGAAGAAGCAGGCAGCCAAGGCAACAGCTAAGTCAACATCAACGACTAAGTCTGAAGCGAAAGCAGCATCTTCGTCAAGAGCTGAGGCAAAGCCAGCATCTACACCCAGAACCGAGGCCAAGCCGTCGTCAGCGCCAAGTGAGGAGCCAAAACCTGCAAGAGCACCTAAGAGTTTCGGGCCCTCATCAGCAGAGGAGAGCAAGGCGAAGGCTGCTCCAAAAGCCAGACCACATGATAAATCACCATCTAGTGCTACCGATGTGTTTGAGCAAGCTTTGCAGGAAGATCTTGCCGCCAACGCACATGCAGCAGAAGGTACAACTTCTTCATCATCCCGAGGACATTCCAAAGGAGGAGGCCAATCTGGAACATCTTGGAGGCCGGCGCTAACGCAAGAACGTCGTGAAGTACCTCAACCTTCTGAAAAGGGGAAGGGAAAGAGCAAGTCCAAGGGAAAGTCCAAGAAGGGAGAAGATGATCGGCGGGATGCTCAGGGCAGCTGGGATCATCGTGGATGGAGAGGTTATCGCCAGTGGTGATTTCTTTGAACGACTATGAGGATACCATGCAAACCAGGGAGGAAGTCATTCACCGGATGTCTATCTGATCTGAAACGCTGTAAGTGTATCATTGCAAATCATCGGATTGACGATTTGATACCATGAGCATAATGGAAGGCAGACAGTCACCGACTGTCTCTCCGACTTGCCGTTCTGTAAGTGTATCCAAATCAAAACCTACATCTTTTGAGAAGTGTGAAGTCAGTTGCCGATGTGACATCTACGTGGAAGTCACCAGTTCGGATCTACATCAAAGCGATGCTCTTTTGAGTGGATACTGAGCGAGGCCTCGTGACTGTCTCACTTGTTCAATTCGATTTTCATAGGTTCTGAGCCATAGTTGCACACTTTATATGTAAAAGTCCGCTTTAGTCCAGCATGTTTCGTAGTAAGAGCCTCATATGAGTCTCGCGGCAAATCATACAATTTCTCTTGTAGCACTTACATCCCTAAATTTTCGTGTGTGATCGGAACATATTGTTGCCGTTCACATGGGGGGTGCGAATGGAAGTGCAGCGACACGTACAGTGCAACTTGTACATATATATGTACCATATGTACTTTGGCTCAAGGATCAAGCGACTAGAAAAGGTGCGGTTTCCGTTCCGACGCTACGCCGCTTATGGACCGTCAGTGATAGCTTCAAACTTCGCTGATTAAGATCCACTCGCAGTATTTGTATCTGAGGAGGAAGGAGGACGAAGAACGGCTTGGGTCTCCCGAGGTGAACCCAGCAACACTCGCGCTTTGTTTGTCCGAGGCGGAAGATGAGGCTGCTGAAGAGGTCAGTGGGTTGAGGATGTCTTGTTTGTGTAGCCAATCAAAGGGGGTCACCTTTGGAATCCTTTGGAACATCCCATTCGCAACATTCTTCATTTGGAGGGTTAGATAGTGTCCATAAAGCATTTCTAACTGTGGGGGCTGCGCCTCGGACGACACAAGATCGAGACGATGAGTCGATCACTTTAGTGTGCAGCGTGCAGTTGTGCTGGGAAAGTGCACCAAACCATGTATTGATGCATAGCTCCGGAAGAACCAGAACCTACATACCGCAGGGCAGTTGCAATCCACGAGCAAAGAAGCCCATGATGAGACGTCATATAAAACATGAGGGTTCTCTCTCAGAACTTGACTTGGTTCGCAAGGCAGTTGTCATCACCATCCCGAGTAGATTCTGATGGTCAAAGAGTCAAAGCTGTGCGAATGCCGCGAATGCCTATAAATATGATTGCATATATGTCGAAGCATGGGCGTTTGTACTGTGCGGGAGGTGGATCCTAACTCTGTGAAGCTCACACGCTTCACGCATGGCATGGGTTGGGGGCCCAGAATTGGATGCATGTCCGCCAGCCGTCTCGAAGCTCGTGGCCACCGGCGGCTCCGCAGTGTTTTGGCTGCAGGGTCACCACTCGCGTCCTTGTTCCTAGTAGTAAGGCCAGGAGCACCTAGTAGCGTCCTTGCTCCTAGTAGCGATGCCAGTCAATCTTTACTTGGACATGTGCTACCCGCTACCCCGTCGAACTTGCTGCTTTGTCTTAATTGATGAGCAAGCCATGCCGCCCAAAACACCGCACGCCATGGGTCATTTGCGAAGCCCGAAGCTTGCCTGTGGAGTTCAGGGATCGGGTCACGCCATGCCCCGAAGTAATGTCGCCCGCCATGCAGTGATGTCATTGGGCAGACTCCTATAGCTAGATGTATTTAGATTTAGCATGTAAGATATTGTAAGATCATGTCATTATACGGACATGTTGCCTCCTGCCTCCGTCAGCCATTTCATGTCAAGGCTGTTGGCCTGCTTGCAGGAAGATGAAGTGGAAGCTTACGATTCATGTTGGGCTGGCATATTAACTCGGCGAAGCGACATGCAACCACATGTTTCTCATTGTTTCTCAAAGAACCTCAACCGCCCTGGATCAGGAACACACCAAAAAATTAGAGCACTTGCAGCATCTTGATCATTTTGCAGCAGATATCACAGGTATCTCCGACTTTTCAGCCAAAGACGACAAAGATCACCGAGCAGATCAAACGGTTGCGGATCAGATTCAATCAAGACTAGAGAACTGAGAAGCCGAATGGGATGCTATTCTCAAGCAAACTCTCCTGAGGACTTGTTTTTGCCGGGTGTGCAGGGTGTGGACTTGCACAGAACCCTGCGTTTTAGCAGCAACCCTGTGATTAAGGAATCTGGTGTTTCTGGGATCTTCTTTGAGAGCATGATGGATGCACCACCACTAGGACCACCGTTGAGGCAGTTCATTCAGCTCAGATTCATAAGAGACTCCAAAACAAAGGGAAGGGCTGCTATTAAGGTTTTTCAAGGCACAAATCAATCCTAGAATCTGAGTTTGAGAACAAAAATGATCAGATCCGAACATGGCAGGTAGAATCCTCAAAAGCATTGAAGTCACAAATTACACCCCTTGAATCGGACCCAAAACTACACCATGCAATGCAGTCAGTCTGGATCTGCGCACTTCCACTGTGACTCGCACCCATCATGGGAGTGGTGAAGGACTGAAACCAAACAGGTGCAATTCCCTAATTGCAGCCTTGACTTTTTCGACCCAAGAAACCAAATCCATTAAGATTCCTTAATCGCAGGGTCACATTCCTTAATCGCAGGGTTGATTCCTTAATTGCAACATGCATGTTGTAATTAAGGCTTTGGAAAAAGATGCCCCCCCAGAATCTGCTGAAAATTATGGAGAACTAGCTTCATTTTGCAGAATCCAGGGGGTCTTTGCAAAGATGTCCCCTAGAATCTGGTGAATTCAATTGAAGCAGTTTGCACCCAATTTGGGGGACATCTTTTTCCCAAAGCCGTAATTACAACATGCGTGTTGTAATTAAGGAACCAACCCCGCGACTAAGGAATCTGACCCTGCGATTAAGGAATCTGTTCATGTCATTGAGCAGGCTTGCTCAACTGCTGCCATTGTTGCCGCCAAATTGTTGCCCTGTCATGCCACTCAGTCCCACTCAGTTCTGTTGTTTTGTCTCAGTGCCACTCTGTTCCGTTCAGTGGTGCGGTGCACAGTGCACACGTTGCAATTTTTGTGAACGCTACCTATGAGCCATTTTAGCTGATTACATGAAAAAAACCACCTTCTGAATACAAACCTGAACTATAGACCAAGAAAACAAACATCTGTTTTGGTGACCCAAGGCTTGCATATGCACTTAGGCGTTTGAGCATGGGAAAGGCCTTGCGTGAAAACAACCTGTGAGGCCGCGAAATAGGGATTTTTGAGCGCGATGTCCCCTTTGTTTTCCTTTTTCAAAAGTTTTTTCCAAGGGTTTTTCAAAAAACGTTTCCTCAATTTTGGGAGGTGATCAGTGAGACGTAGTAGTTAAAAACAGCTTAATCGCAGGCCCTTTTCTTAATTACAGACTTCAACCCCTCGCCGTGCAGGGTCATGGGATTCCGATGTCACCCTTTTGGAACCGACTTGATCGAGGGAGGTGGCCCACGACATGGCCATGGGGATCCATGGTCCATGTCGGTCAGAAATGGGCGGCGTGAAGAGACCGAGCTGTGAAGAGTGTTGGAACGTGGATCACCCAACTGAGGACCCAAAAATTCTTCAGATGTGTTCCTAGTGGCGTCCTTGTTCCTACTAGTAAGGCCAGGAGCCCCTAGTGGCGTTCTTGCTCCTAGTAGCGATGCCCTATGTTAGTAGTAGCTCCTAGTGACATTCGATGTCATTTGTTGCAGTGTATAGCGCCGTATAGTGTATTTTCTACCGGAAGGTTGTTAATTGAGGTTCCGTTGTTTCCCAAACATGCTGGCAACCGTTCCGCTACACTCCCCGCAAACAGTCCGTCAGGAGCCCTTCGAACCCAAGCAACTGGAGGCTTTGGCGTCCAAGGAGCTACCTATCCTTCGACAACAAGTGTTGTTGGGCGCCTTGGCGGTGCTTCTACGAATCATGAGGGGGAAGGGACCACTTGCAGGGCAACAGTCACTGATGAGTTCGGTGGCCATCCTTCGGTGCAGTTCGCCCTGGATGAGTGCAAAAGCTGGCTCAACGCTTTTGCTACTCTTTGGTTCAGCCTGCCCTGCGACTGCCCAGTTTGTTTCTGAGTGCACATGCGACTCAGCCAGCTTGGTTGTGAGCTGACTCATGTGATTTTTTCAGATTGCATGAAAATTCAGCTGCTCAAGCGGTTTCCATGTGAGTTCCAGGTAGCGCAACGCCATTCGGCTCAATTCCCAGCGAACGAGATGTGCGGAACATTCCATGTGGTGGTATCACATACCCATAATGATACGACTGGGTTCCCACCTTGCTGTCGAACTCGATCAACCACAGACGTGTTTGGCCAATGTGCCACTTCGGCTGGCCCTATACACCATGTGCAGATCACCCCACGTACGTTTCGCCCAGGTTTGCTGAAAATCCTGGACGAAGTCTTGACCGGAGCGGCCTGGACGAAGTCTTGACCGGGCGGTTGGGCATAGGGATGTGCAACGCTCAGACGCCTGTGTGATCCTTGTGCCGATCCTATTTTGTGGAATCGTCATCCCGTTTCGGAACAGCAATTGCAAGCAGGCCCTGAAGGTCACAGACTACTGCCTTCATACACGGAGGCTAGGTTGGAGGATTTGGAGGCCATTGCTATTAGGTTGGAGACCGGCCATCGCCATTAGCTTCTTTTCCACGTTGTGAGGCCCAGATCCCCTACTGGATCACTGGGGGCACTTTGTTGGGTGCTTGTCGTCATGAAGGCTTCATCCCTCATGACGACGACGTGGACGTGGAATGCTTCCAGGCCGGGCCCGTGCGCGGTCAAGGCAGCCTCCGTCTGTGCTGGCCTGGCTTTGTCGCAGATCGGAGACTTGGCGCGCATATGGCGCGCATTAAGTTAGACTCTAGGCATAGACCACGATGGACCTTTTTGATATGAAAGGCATTTTAAGGATGATCATTCAATATTATTCAGGTTCGTCCGTGCTGCAGTAGTGTTGTTCCAACAATTTCCAACAGTGCGAATCATTGCCATGAGTTCTTATTGACAGGTCCTGATGTCAAGTGGGACTCCTGAATCCGAGGAGTGGTGTGCCACAAAAATAGCCCCTGAAACCAATTGCCGGGATGGGTCGCTTGTGGGCCACCATTTCAGTCATTGGTCAGGAGGATGTGGCACGCATCCAGGCGGCCTTCAAGGCAAGTCACCTGGGCAGCAGATGTGGAGATGAACTTCGCGACACATGATTCTGTTCATGTGTCCACTTACCATGAACCATTTACCCGACCATACCTGACCTTTAGCAACATTCTGTTTTTGAGTCATTGCTAGATTCTGCATGATTCTGCTAGACCCTGACCAAGGAACTACCAACTTTGAAGGGACACTGGGATTTCATGTGGCTATGAATGGGCTTTCGGCATTCGGCACCATCATAAACTAACCCCGCGCCAGACAGAAGACCTTGCGCAATGTCGAGGATGACAACGTCATGGATCATGATTCATGATCATCCCTACATCCATCCGATTTTTCGACACCTTGGACCCCCCTGAATTCTGGAGGCTTTGCCCAGGCCACTTCGCCCAGCTCGAGCTGGTCTGAGGTCCTCTTCCTGGGCATTTCATCGAAAGCGGGTCCTGGGAAGGACCGATTGGAGCTAAGCTGGTCGTGGAGTAAACAGTGTTCGCCAGAAGCGAAGCGGAGTTCAGGGAGAAGACGTAGCGCACAGCAGAAGTTATGCAGCATAGTTCTGGGATATGAACAGAGTCACCATGATGAGCCAGTATCATGGCAAAGGTCTTCTGAGCTTTATCACTTGACCTTTGGGTATCCTAAGACAAAATGACGAAAGCAAGTTTTGCAGAATTGCCGCGGATTTGATTGATCTACGGCTTTACTGGAAGTCGTCCAAATGCTCCCTCCAGTAGAATCGGGCCATCTCTGTTGGAGTCCATATTGACTCAGGACGCTACAGTAACGCAGCGCATGTCTCTTATGCTCCCCTACTCCCCTCTCCTGTTTCCTTGTTCGTGGAAGGAACAAGTAGAGTATCTTTAAAGGTTTGCCGCATTTGGATCATCATCGATCACAATTTGGAACTTGCCTTGTCCCAGGACAGCGCATGGGGCGGCTCATTTTTTGGGATGCCATTTTCATCGACTTCTTCCTGCGCCCTACTCCACCTGCTGAGGAGTCTTGATGTTGCCACGCCAGAATGCTTTGTCGTCTATTGTTTTGGAACTAGGCCTGCGCACGACAAGCGAGAGATAGAGGGAGTGAGGCTAAGAATGCCGCTACGATTACTGGCTCCATCCACCATCAAGTGTATTATATATTTGCGTCGAATAATGAGCTTTTTCACACATAGAGCCCTGCTGCTTAGGAGCCCTGCTTCCCTTCTGCGGAGGAACTCTTTCCCCTGGAGCGTCTCTCCTTCCATGGCCTGAAGCTCTGGGGGCCTCAGAGCGCCAAGGCGCCACCGACGCCGAGGACGCGCGTACGAGGCCGAGTGCCGTCCTTACTAGAACAAGAACCATACGAAACCCGTGGGTTGGGGGTCAAAAAATATTCACATAATTTCACATATTATATACCAATATGCTGACTGTTACGAAGTAATAGTGTCTTTTAGGAATGCAGCAACAACGTACGTAAGTATGAGGAAGTGGTTGTGCATCGGTGGCCATTTTGGCTTCAAGTGGCCCCCCCCCCCCACACACTTTTGAAGTGCCATGGAGTTTGGCGCCCCTATGGATTGGGGAGAGTTGGCGGGGGTGCCAGTGGTGGTCATCGAGGACACGATGGACGATGACGAGGGCGAGGGCGAGGAGAGCCTGACGGACCTTGCCACTAGAGTCCGTGAGCTGGAGTCCATGAGGGTGGAAGACTTCCAGCCCGAAACTCCAACAGAGAAATTTAGTCCCACGGAGCTGCA